TGTGTGTGGTAAAAAAAAGAAAGAAAGAAAGAAAGAAAGAAAGAAAGAAAGAAAGAAAGAAGAAATCGGTCGTGATTGAAAAGAATCAGCAGAATAGAAAGGGGTTTTCGTTGAGAAATGAAAGAATAACAAAAAAAAAAATCGGCAATTTCTCTTTGCTCGTACGTCCATCAAGCAGCCCATTGGAGGCTGTGCGGCGCAAGTGTGTGACACGCGCGGATCGTGTGCGACGCCAGTTACGCTCCCCGGCACGCGCACAAGACCCGTGTTGCCGTAACACTATGCCGCTACGCGTGCGGTGAACAAACGAGGGCACATCCACTTTGACTGTCAGTGAGCCTCTCTCTGTTCTCGAGGGTGAGAGAGTCAGGGCATACTATAGGACTTCGTTTCTACTAAGCTCTGGACGAGATTGCAGTCAGGTGCATCCAGGTCTGGCCGTAATTGCCGTCAGACACGTTTAGGAAAGTGCTAGTGTGAGTATGCCCTCATTTGTCTGATCGCTTCTCATGCCAGTCAGTGTTCCACCGATTACAACGTCCTCTCGTCTTCCCCCGAGCACAACGTAACCGTATTCTTACCGAATCTGGCCGGAAAGGTACTCTGTATACATTCATAATGAGGGTATGTTGTATTCGGATGAAGACGGTAGGAGTTCCAGCACAAGGAACGCAATCCGATGTGGCAGTACGTATAGGGACCCCAGAATGGCAGACACCGGACCCAAAAAAGTCTCCCTGACAAATGAACTACTGTAATATTAAATAAATAAATAAATATTTTTTATCGAGCATGTAAGTAAGTGGCCAACTAGAGGACGAACCTGTCGAGAGAGGCTCGACCTTGGAAACTCTTTCCCGGGGCTAGGTCCCACTTGCACGAACGAATTAAGAGATACTGACCGTAGATAGCAAAGATCAACGGCCGAAATCTACTAATTTGCGCAAGTGGGACCTTGCCCCCGTATGTTTGAGACGGATATACAATAAATTAATAACTGAATAATAAACTGTTAGTTATGTATCGCTGCAGCGGCAGTGCAGCCACCATTACTGCCATCGCAAGGAAGAATTCACTTCAATTCAGGGCCAACGGGAAAAGTTCGGGCTTAAAAAACCGAAAACGTTTCCGCGCGGGCTTTTATCTCCCACTTCTTCTTCCAACAATTCACGCGAAAATGCCATGTCACATATATAGATTATATTATATTAGTATAATTACCATGAGCACTTCATTTTGGCTAAGGTAACGTTCGTTTTGTTTTTTTTTTTCGCTCGAACTTGCGACTATTGATAGATGTCAAAGTACGTAGGGTACACGTCGTCGGCGAGTAGACATCAGCAGATTCTGAAGTCTGTTGCGCGAGAAAGCAGGACAACAGTGAAGTGAAAAGCCTCCGACGCAGAGACGGGCAGGTAGGTAGGTGGTTCTTGCCTCCGGCGTACTGGACGCAGAGACGAAGTGAAAAGCCTCCGGCGTACTGGACGCAAGACTTGGAGGTCGTGGGAGCCAAAGGAAGTAGAAAAAAAAGAGATGTCAAGTCATGGAACATCCCTGAGGGATAAGGCAGGCATAATCAGACGCCAGTGGAGAAGAACGCTCTGTCTCGACGCTTCTTGCAGAGGCAACGGCAGCAGCAGAACAGGAGGACGATAGCTAAGACCGCCGCCGCAGCCACGCCGATCACTAGTGGCCTTTTATAGACCGGCTTGTCTTTCTTGGCAGGCGCTGGGCTCGAGGTCGAGGTCGTGTCGGCGTTATTGCCGACGGGATCTTGTTGTTTTTCTGGGGACGACGTTGATCCGCCGCCGTTAGATTGACTTGAGGACGATCCACCGTTGGATCCAGAGGACGACGATCCGCCGCCGCCAGCGGAGGTTGACGAGCGGGAAGAAGGCGGCGAGGATGAGGCAAACGATCCGCCACCGTTGGATTGAGCGGAGGACGACTCGGATCCGCCCCCGACAGGGGAGGTTGATGAGGGGGAGGAAGGCAGCGACGGCGGGGCTGACAATCCGCCGCCTTTGGATGGAGGGGAGGACAAAGATGGATGGACTTCCTCTGGAGGCGTACCATGAAGAGCATCCTCCGACGCAGGCGGAGTTGCAACGGATTCGGATGGCTGCTTGGGATCCGACGACGACGGCGGCGGCGGCGAGGTCGAGTTCGAGGTTGAGCGCGATACCGTGGGCGTGGGCGGGGGCGAGGCCGGGGGCGAGGACGAGGAAGAGCGCGTGCCCCCCCCGCAGGCAGGCAATTTGTCAACCTGGAGGGGTATTTTGTAAATTGCCTTGTTGTACGCGCCCACGAACAAGGTGGAGTCGTCCTTTGTGAGCGCCAGTCCGTCAGCGAAGGCGCGGTTCTGCGGCCCCGCGAAGGAGGCAAACGTCTGCACGGACACGGCTTTCCCGCAAGGCTTGTCCAGCGTGATGAGTCGCAATCGCTGCCCTTCGGTCTCCGTGACGAAGAGATTGCAACCGTCCGATGCGAGCGCAAAAGAGGCGGGTCGGAGGAAGATGACCTTGGTCGGGTCGGTGGCATCCGCCGACGCGCCCGCCACACCCTGCTCCGCGCCAGCGACGTAGTCCAGCGCGCCCGTTTTCGTGTCCAGTCTCCAGATCCGCGGATCGCGGTCGTCCGCCAGGAACACCGCCGCCCCGCTCGCGCACACCCCCTGCTCACTGATCAGAACGCGCTGCAGAGTTGTGAGATTCGTAGGAGATACGACCCCCCTGGTCTTGAATTGAGGCCCCGCCAAAACGGTGGGTTGACCGACAGTAGCAGGGGGCGTTGACCCGCCGCCGGCGCCGCCCTCCGGCAGCTGCAGGTCGATGCGAAGAACCGTAGAGCCCGTCTCGACCACGCTGCCGTCGGCGGGAGGCGGAGAGAACTCTACCGCCAAAAGACTCTGCTTTGTCGAGTCGGCAAAAGCCAAGCTCCACATCTCCTTCAGGATACGCGCAGGCGTCTGCAGATCAGATACGGAGCTGTTGCTGGCATTGACGTGGATGATCCTGTGGTTATCGATGTCGGCCAAATAGACAGTTTCACGGGACACCGCCAGCCGTAGGATCCTGGTGGAGATCTGCTCCGGATCGGGCCCCCCCACAGCGCGTTGGAAAGGCCCCGCTATGGGCTTGGCCTGATTGGGGCTGGTCGCTAGATCAACCACCCACAGCGCGTAAGAATCGTTTTGAGGGTTTTCGAACCTGTCCAGGCCTGGACCCCAAAACACGTGTTTGTTCTGAATGAAAAACAGCTCCGTCTCGTCGTCGGAAAGCTGCATGCCCAGGACGTACGTGTACAGGCTTGTGTCGCCCGCCAGCTCATTAGGTGGCAGAATGTTCAACGGCTGAGATGAGGCCACGGAGGTCCCAAAGGGAGTGAGAGAGATCGAATCTCCACCAGACACACCTCGCGCGAGGAATAGAGCCGTTAGCAAGACAGCCGCTCTCAGATAGAATAGAGGAGGCTGGCGGAGACCGCTTCGACTCACTGATTCCGCCATTGCCATAAAAAGTTCCGTCTATTTATAGCAACAAGGAGGAAATGTCTCTCTCTCTCTCTCTCTCTCTCTCTCTCTCTCTCTCTCTCTCTCTCTCTCTCTCTCT